TTATCATTAGCCCTTTAGCTGACTTTGGGCTTCACAGGGGAAGGAACATCAAAGTAACAGGAAGTGGAGGGGTGGGGAACAGAAGAGTAATTTACAGTTATAAAAGAGACAGACACAAAGGTGGAAAAAAGGTGAGATGAGTACTGTGGAAGTAGTCGAATATAATACAATGGGGGGTGATGGTGGTTTGAAGTGAGAAGTCAGCTGCCGGTTAATTGACTTTTTTGCCGTATGAGGATACGTTGCCCACGGTGCACCACGTGGAGGTAAGTCTATCGCACACCTCTTAGTAGATGCTATTTCATGATTTGTAAATCAAAGTAGGTAATAGTTGCTTGCTAATTCTTGAGTGAATGAAAAATTGTATGCAATGAGTGCTTCTTGTTAGAAGGGCAAATAATTACTTTTCCACATTTCAAGGGTTATCTTTCTTGTCATGATCTTCTATAGACATGATTATTGGTAGAATATGTCATACCAGAATGGATGTAAATGGCCGGAGAGGCGCATTGCAATTCAAAAGTCTAACTCTGAGCACCGTTCTCATGCATCACTTGCACTTGGCAGTCAATAGATGCGCTAAATTGGAGACCAGGTCACGACCTTTCTGCGCACACTTTTTTTGTTCCTGGATCGAGATGTCTGAACTCGTCCTAATGCCTATCCTATCAATATGCGTTTCTTTGCTTACCTAGGCACACTTACGAGCGTTATACAGCTACGAGCCGACAAATGATATGTACAATCCCTGTGCAGAAGCTAGCCTTGCATTTGACAAGGGTGACATCTTGCGGGTCCTCAACACTCGAGATCCCAATTGGTGGCAAGCTTTGAGGTGAGCAAATGCAGAGTTTCTAGTTCGCGCCTTATTATTTATTTATAGCAAATGGTAGTCGTTATGATAGTTATAATTAGTACTTTAGATGAGTTTGGGGTTCACAGAGCGGAGGAACGTCAAAGTCGCAGAAAGTCGAGAGGAGGGGGGGGGGGGGGGAAGAGAAGAGCGATTCCCAGATCTAAAGGATACAGGCACATAGGTAGAGGAAAAGGTAAGGTGAGTACTGTGAAAGTGGTCGAATACGACATACAGTCGGGTCTTGGTAGTTTGAAGTCAACCCCCGGTTGATAGACTTTTTTGCCGTATGAGTAAGCGTTGCCCAGGGTGCACCCCTGGCGTCTTATTATAATAGACATTCGCTACATTTCATCATTGACATGTCACTAAACTTCCACTATGCTTAGACCAAATTAGAACAAGGGAAAAACGTTTTACTTTTGTGATTGTTTTCGATTAAGAAAATAAATTTAATTATATAGTTTTGAGTAATCAGGAAACGAACGACCTTTGGGCTGGCCAATAATTGAGTAATTGCCAATACTGCGTCCATGAAGTGAACATATTTTTATGTGTTATTTTTTCATGATAAAAATTCTAAAAGAAAACCAATTAAGCGTGATAAAACGAGAAGCATCGGGGTTTTTTTTAATATTATTTTCATCGTATTTTAATTTGCCTGAATTTTGCCTCAACTTGTGACTTTGTTGATCGGCATGTAGGATTTGTTCTCGCTTAAAATAAACAGGCTTCTTTTATTTACTTTTCTCTCCCCCCTCTCTCTCAACTAATTTTCAATAATTAAAACGATTTATAATAATTTTTTTTTGAAAGCGGGACTAAAGTTAGCCCAATGATCTGTCCCACCCACTGTCATGCTATTTTGCACCGTGTGTAGTTGTGAAAGTGTTCCTACGAATTGAAGGCATTCCTGTGTCTTTATAAGTCACCTTGACTCTCAGCTTTAAATTGCCTTCCAAGGTTGATGTTAGTCGAATAGTTTTTTGCTGATTTTGAGAGAAACACACACACACACGCACACACACACTCGCAAGGATAAGTAGGACCACTTGTGAAGAAGCCGTCTCTGAAGCTATTGGCTAAGTGGGCAGCCAATCATTTATCAAATAGTCAACTAACACTACCTTTTATTTTTTCAAATAGAAAGCCCTCTTCTGAACTATAAGCTGTCTCCTTTCCGTTGACTTACGTCTTAGTTGCTATCGTTTAAATAAATTGCCGCCGTTAAATGGCAACACAGCTATATTTCGCCAATTTCGGTATTTTCTATTTATCCCGACCTCCAATCTGTATATTTCCCCATTATCATTTTGCATCTCGTAATATTAGCGCGATTTACCATTGGCACCCTTCTGGTACAAAGGTATAAAGGTCTATCAGACTGTTCTGTCTCTCTCTCTCTCTTACTTTTGCGGTCTGTGCAAACAATTGTGACACAAATTCTGAAAAGGCTGTGAATCACCTCTGGGGCTGACGTTTATTTGAATACAGCATCACATTTTGTATTTGCAGGCTTCTTCTTCATGCAGTGTATCATTAGAAAGAAACACTTCGTCTCTGCTACGCACACAAGATTGTGTGTGTGTGTTCAGATCACGATGGAATCAGCTTGGAGCCAGAAGCATCAGATGTGAAAGATTTTGTGGTTAGTTTCACTTGAGGTCACTCTATTCTGAAGTAAAATACCTGAGTGTGAAATTTGTCTTAAATTAAGTCGCAATTAGTCATATTTCATATCTTTGCGTGGGTTGATTGGATTAACGACTGAATTAGATCTTGCTAACAAATTTAATTATAGAATTATATATTAATTTATTACAGATGGCAGGTGTTTTGAGAGTTATCATTAGCCCTTCAGCTGACTTGGGGCTTCACAGAGGGGAGGAGGAACATCAAAGTGAGATAAGTTGGGGAGGGGGGGGGGACGGAAGAGTGATTCACAGATGTAAGGGAGACAGACTCAAAGGTGAGTACGGTGGAAGTGGTCTAATAGGACATACAGTCAGGTCATGGTAGTTTGAAGTAAACTGCCAGTTAGTAGACTTTTTATGCCTTATGAGTATATGTTGTCCGGGGTGCACCACATGGAGGTAAGTCTATCACGCACCACTTAGAAGTATTGATATCGAATTGTGGAGAATGTGAATAGGTACTTCAAAAGCACTTTTTTATGGAGAAGTTCTCATTTTGACACTATACTTCATTTTCTTTTTTTTTAAGAATCGAAGAGGCAGGAGCTGTAGGCATCTCCAGGGATATGGCTGGCCTCATCCCCTCGCCCTACTTCCAACGCTACCGATGTCTATTTCGCTTGAAGAAGAATGCTGGCGCTTATGCCGAAGACGCAGCTGTTGGATACTCCGAGTCCGAAGCCTCGTCTGAGGAGCAGGAGGTTGGTGGTGAGGTGGAAGGAGAGAACTCTTCTCTGGGCGCTCCAAGTAGTCTTAGTCTGTGGATGTCTACCAATACTACTACAACTGGAGATGGGCAGAGTTTCGATATTCCTGGTAACCTGAAAGAATGACAGTTTTTTTATACTCTAATAGGTATATCATTTGGCATTGCCGCTCATAGAGCAATATTTAGCCTTTAGTTAGTCCCTGAAGAGAAAAATGTGCAAAGGTATCTGTTTGATAGACCTATACTTGACGTTCGTTGTGAAATACCAACATGTACCCGATTCAACTGTTGGATTGATTCACGACTGCGAAAATTATTTATATTTATATCAAATGGCAGGCGTTTTTATGGTTATCATTAGCCCTTTAGTTGACTTCAGGCTTCACAGAGGGAAGGAACATCAAAGTGAAAAAAGTCGAGAGGGTGGGCGGGGGGACAGAAGAGTGTTTCAAAGGCGAAGGTAGAAAAGGTAGGAAAAAGGTGAGGTGAGTACTATGGACGTAGTCGAATATGACATACAGTGGGGTGATGGTAGTTTGAAATGAGAAGTCAACTGCCGGTTAATGGACTTTTTTGCCGTATGAGTATACGTTGCCCAGGGTGCACCAGGTGGAGGTAAGTCTATCGCACATCCCCGACTGTAAAAGTAAAATAACGGATCACCTTACTTTGACATGTTTTTTGGTCATCTTAAATCAAGCATTTACTCACTAGATGTCTCACTCTGTTTCGAGATGTTGAGGGGATTTACTTCCATGGTAATCAGTCGATTTGTTGCTTACAGCACTTTCAAACTCAACTCGCTAACGTTCCTCCCCCCAACCCCCCCCCCTACTCCCCTAGATTTCAGTCATTGAATTTTTGTACGGCAAGTGCTCCTTCTACTTTTGCATTCCAATTCAATTTGTTGATGCAACAATGGCAGCTTTCCACCACCACTACCTCTGCCTATATGCGAAAATTAATTGTCTCACAAATGCTGGTGGCAGGATGAACTTCTCAACTTGTTGGTGCAGTGAGAGCACAAGAAGGTCAATGGGAATTAGTGCATAGCTAGTCAATTTTTGTGGCATTGTACGTGCGCACGCGCGCGCGTGTGTGTGCCTGCGTGCGTGTGTGTGTGCGATGTTGGTTGTGCTGTTGGGGTGGGAGGTGGGGG